CAAGGGGTGGAAGTGGGAATGGTGCCGCTCACCATTATACCCAGGGATCCACTAGTAACATTTTTGCTTCCTGTTCCTGTCACCTTATGTCCTGCTGGCTTAGAAGTCTTAATTCCAGAGAGGGGGAAGACTTGTACCAGGAAGCATGACAACGATTCTACTAAACTAGAAGATAAGATTTCCCTCTGGTCATTTTGGTCTCCTCATGCCTCAGAGTACACAAGCTAAAAACGGAGTTATGGTGTTGGCAGGAGTGACTGATCCAGACTATCAAGGGGAAATTGACCACTACTCCTCAGTGGAGGAGAGGAAGGGAGAATATACTTGGAGTGCAGGCGATCCCTTAGGGTGTCTCCTACTATTCCCACCCTCTGTTATTAAGGTCAGTGGGAAACGACAACAGCCCAATCCAGGGAGGATGGCAAATGGCCCAGAACCTTCAGGAATAAAGGTATGGATCACACCACCAGGGAAAGAACCAAGACCTGCTGGAGTGCTTGGTGAATGGGCAGAAGAAGAAAATAGTTCTCAATACCAGCTACAATCCATAACCAGTTACTGAAACAGAGATTGTAATTGTAATTGTAATTGCAATTGCAATTGTAATTATAATTGTAACTGTAATTGTAATTGTTCTTTCCTATTTTATAAATACACTAAGCAGGCATCTTTATTCTCTTCCTTTGCAGCATAGTTGATAGACTTAATAACAATTCTTAAGTACTGTTAATGCTATGTTCTGTTGTCTAGGTTATGAAACGTTAGGAGTAAATATCACCAAGAGAAAAACTCTCCTTTCTCCTTTGGGGTGGGAAATTAGTGCACTTCTGTTTGTAAGCAGCACAGCTGCACTATGTTAGGTATCATTATGAACTTGTTACTGTATCTGGAGATTAAGTACGGTTCAATGAAATGCACCTGGGGGTCAGGTGGAGAAGGGGCGGACTGTGATGATTAACTGTAGTTAATTGAAGTTGAAATGCTTAGCCGACTCGTTTAGCACAGTTCTGGGTGTGACTGGACGATGGGCTTACTGAAGACGGAAGTCCACCCCGGGTGCGGGTGACACCAATCAGTAGGCTTGCAGCCTGGATGGAATAAAAAGGGAAAAAAGCAGGAAGTCTCCCCTCTGCTGGGGAGGAGGAGTTCCAGGCTTCGCATCGCCTTTGGATATTCGCCTTCAGCCTTCCGGCACAGAGCTTTCAGCTTCCTGATACGGACTTGCACATGACCGCGCTGAGCTCCAGGTCTTCATCCTCTGACTGGATCTTCCGGCTGCCCAGGTGCAGACGGTCTTTTGCCTTCTCCCACACCTGACTGCAGGGGACTGCTGGAAGCCTGCCCCTGGTCTTGGCTTTTCTCTAACACGCTGGACACTCTGGCCCTAAGGCTGGTTGTTCCTCCACCACTTCCCCTGTCATCCGCATAGCCTTGTAAAGCCTGAGACAGAGTGAAATATTAAATCTGCTCCTCTAGTGAACCCTGATACAGTGGCCAACCGGCAGAGCATTGAGCAGCGCTCCCTGTGTCCTCAGGACTTGCTTTGTGCTCTGGCTGTAGGTCCTTCCTGCTTGGACATGAGGTAGCATTCATGGCCACAGGCCACATTCCCACCCACAAGACATGCCTGGGAATTCACTATGTGGATCTCACCATGCATGAAGATTTTCTTCCTATAGACAGGTAGAACCCATAATCCACAACTGCCCGGCCATTCTGAAGGAATGGGGACGGCCAGGGTCCTCACCGACACGCAGGTCATCGTGAACCTCTGGCTCAGGCCGTGCGGGGTCACCACGTAGCTTTGGACTGTCTGCTGGTCAGCTCATGAGTAGCCACTGCTTCTGGTTTGACACCATGGCCAGGGCAAGAAGCCTGTGCGGCTCCCGCAGGACCAAGCCCCGGGCCGCAGACAACGACTCCAGCCTCATTGTGGCGCCTTCCTCAGACTTGGCGGGGTCTCCAGGGCCAGAGGTTGTGGTTGCCACGGTGGGCTTTGTGCTGTTGCTCCAGGCCTCCCTTCTACAAAGCCTCCTCCAGCTTTGCCAAGGGAACCTTAGCACCCCTGTTATAAGCCCCGTTGATTTCTGCTCCCGTTGGGTGGGCTTATGTTTGAGGGGCCCCTTGGTCAGGGGATGAACCTTAGTCAGACATCCCTCCAGGGAGCTGTGGGTGAGAAAGCAGACACCCCTTCCCCAGAGCAGAATGGCTCCACCTGGTGTCCAGACCCTGGGGGACTCCATGGGCCCTAGGTGCTGCAGGCTATTCCCCTGGTGCCTGAGCTCAGGCCAGATTTTCTTTGCTTGTAAGACTGAACTCACACCTGCTTAAAAAATCATAGTAGCAAGCATGGTGTTTCACTCCATGGTGTTCCCAGCTACACCCTGGCCCCCGTACGTCTTCCCCACAAGATGGGAGTTGGACAGCGCAATGCCTCTGACCCTCTGCTGGTAAGTTTCTCCAATAGAGAGCACCTGGGCCGCATCGCATGCCTTTGTGCTGTTTGCCTTCACCCAAGACGCCTTTCCTGGGCCTCTGGGCTCGGTCCTCTGGTTCTTCCTTTTTCCACCTCACTCTCGGTGATCAATGTAGATACGTACTGCTGTTTGCCAAACTGTGTCTTTCTAAACTGTTTCTTCACCACACTCCTGGCAGTCCAGATTCAGATGTTCAGATGCCTATTCCCCAACTCACTCGGACAGCTGAAAATTACCACACCTGGTCCTGAGCCCTCCGCCCATCCCTCCCCCGCCCCTTGCTGCACACAAGCTCCCCCGGCTGCCAGGGAAAGTCCATTCGCCTCTGCCAGTTGCTCAGGCCCAGAACTTTGGAGCTCTGCCCCAACTCCCACTCACCAGTGAATCTGTCAGTTCTACCTTCCAAGTGTGTCCACACTCTGACATCTTACTCCCTCTGCTGCTGTGCAGACAGCCACCATCTCCCACAGAGCCAGTGCTTTCCAGAGGTTTACAGGACAGGAGCTGGGGCCCCGATGTGGTGAGGCTTTAGGTGGTGGAACCTTTAAGTGATGGGACCTAGTACAAAGTGATCCCCTCCGAAGGAATCCATGTAGTTCTATGGAACGCTGGTTAGTAGTCAAGAGAGAGTTGCTATAAAAGGACAGGCCCGAAGCCAGGTGTAGTGGCTCATCCCTGTAGTCCCAGTACTCAGGAGGCTGACACAGGAGGATCTCTGTGAGGCTAGCCTGGGCTACAGAGTGAGTTCAAGGCCAGCTTGAAGTGCATAGCAAGACCTTGTCTCAAAAAGACAAACAAACTCAAAACAAAGCAACCAAACAAACAAACAAAAAAAGCAAAATAAAAGGTCAAGCCTGGCCCCTCTTCCTCTGGCTTCCTCTGTTGCTGTGTGACCCCCTGCCCCCAATGCATCCTCCCATGACTTTATTCACTGGGATCTGATGCAACCGGCGGGTGGGGGCTCCTCAGAGTCAGCCATGCTGAAAGTTGGACTTTCAGCTTCCAAAACTGTGAGCTCAATAAACCTCTTTGCTTTTTAAAGATCTCTGAGTCTCAGGTATTTTGTTATAGTAACAGAAAACAAACTAATACAGTGCTCCATTGAAGAGGTGAGTTGGATCATGTACTCTTCTGCTCCAAACTCTGCAAAGGCTCCCATATCGCTAGGGGTGGAGAGCATGGCCCTCCCTGTGTGGTAGAAGGATCTTCAGGACCTCCTTGACCCATTGCTTCCCAGCCTCTCTTACTACTCTGCCCCTTGCTTGGTCTGCTCCAACTACTGGCCTGGCCTTTCCTTTAACACACTGGACCCTCTGGCCAGGAATTCTCTTCCTCTCCCATTCACATAGCCATTTCCCTTTATTTCCTTCAGGGATGCACCCCTCAGGGAGGCCCATCCCAGCCAACCCATATATCACCACAGCCCTGGGTTTGATATAGCTCCACAGCACATGGCACTTCCTGACAGAGCATTTCTCTGTGCGCTGTGATGTCCTGCTGGAAGACAAGCTCTCTGAGGCCAGGGACCTTGGTCTACGTTGTTCACTGATATTCCTGAAGCACCTTGACCAGTGCCCAACCCTGAATAGCTGCTCAGTAAGTATGAGATGACAATGGGCATCTGTCACTATGTCTGCTTGGCCATTGTGTCCTCCCTCAGATTCAGCTGTAAGGCCTGGCCAGTGGCAGAGGCTCAGTAAGTGTTTATTGAGTGACAAATTGATCACATGGATGAATCGGTGGATTGGTCAAGTCCTGACTGGGGATCATGATAAGACTCTTCACGTATCCTTTGCCAAGAGAGAGTTTCCTTTTAAAAATTTAGTTGTCTTGATAGCTTTCCAGCTACATTCTTCTTTCTCAACAGCCCTGATGCCGAGGGTGGGGATAGTGATCTTCCTGGGAGGAGGTGTCCCTGAGACCGATGGCAATAACAGTGACCAACGTTTGCCGGGCACTTGCTGTGTGTAGCTGCCAAACTTTCTGTCTGGCGTATTCTGTCTTTAATCCACACTCCCATCTCAAAGAGGCTGGTTCTGCATTACTACATTTTACAGATGAGCTCCCTGGGGCTCAAGAGAAGCTGAGAAACCCTGCCAAAATGGTGTAAGAAACAGAGTGGAGGGGGATTTGAATTGTGCAGTGAGACCCAAGGGTCCCTCTAAAGGGCAGGGTTCTCCCGTGTAGTCAAGGATTCTGAATTTTCCCAGAGTAGGAGGTAGCCATGGAAGGTTAGCAAAGGGTGAATATGCTCTCTTGTCCATAAAGCACTGAATGATTCCTCCTTCGTGAGGCTGTTGTAGCAGAGATCTTGGATCAGGGGTGGAAAACCTGGAAGTCAGCCTGGAGGAAGAGCTTGACTAAATGATGCCCTAAAGGAGACACAAGCCCGTGGAGATGGTATACATTGGCCTCTGCTGCCACCTGGTGGTCACTTTGCTGCATGACATGCTGTGGATTCCGAGCTGACTAATCTCTTGAGGGGCGTGACGGGTGACAGTTGGAGCTGGCAGGAGAGTAGCTCGGGGAGCAGCTGGTGGGCGTCTAGAGGGCGAGGCTCGCAGAACCCTGGAGTGGATTAACTGACTCAGATATTTAGTCCTGCTTCTCCCTGCGGATTTCACTCCGCTGAGTGTATGCTTCTTTGGATGTAAAATGGGGCAGAACAGCCTGCTTTGGGGGATTATTGTGCAGATCAAAGGACATAATCCAGAAAACGCCACGCCCCGGACCTGGCACAGGGTCACTGCTCAGACTTCCCGGCCCCCTCTGAGCTGCAGTGAAGACCAACCCAGCACCCAGGTACAGGACGAGGACTTGGGTCTTCACTGCCAATATCGCTGTCACTTCCCCTCCCTGAGCCCATTCCACCAACCACATAATATGGAGTTAAGTCACTCAGATGCTTGGGCGTGGGGGCTACAGAGGATGACCCACAAGGCCCGCCTCTGCCAACCTCATACCCGACCCTGAGCATCAGCAAGAGAAGACTTTACTCCAGCCCTGTCCAGCCACGGGGCGGCTGCGGGATTGTACGGAGAAGAAGCTGTGGAGGCTGATGTGGCCCACACAGCAGCCTCGGGCGTGTCCTGGGAGCTTGTCAGAAATGTAGATCCTCAGGTCCTCCCTTGACTCACTGGCTCGGGATCAGAGTTTCACACAATCCCCAGGGCGCGCCTCCGCACCATTGAGTTGGAGGTACTCTTGTCTGGGGCAGTGTTTCTCAACTTTGGACACACAGTAGAATCAGGGAGGATCTCCAAAAACTGTGACACCCAGGCCACAGCCCTGCACATCTCTGGGGACTCAGACACGAGTGGTTGTAACAAGGTCCCCGGGTGCACACCTGTCATCTCAGCATTCTGGGAGGCTGAGGCAGGAGGATTGAAAGTTCAAGCTCCGTCTCGGCAGTTTAGTGACTGTGTAACCTTGGATCAAAATAAAATCTTAAAAAGACCTGGGGATGTATCTCACTGTGAAAGTCTTGGGTTCAACTCCCAGGATGAGTGAAAGAAGGAGGAGTTAGAGGAAGCAGAGGAGGAGATAGAGAAGAAGGAGGAGGGAGAGGTTCCTAGGTAACTCCAGGGTTCAGCCTTACCCGGTGCTGAGAAAGCAAATATATTTTATCCTTTGTATTAATTGAAATCAATAGCAATGCACTTCCAGAGAAAGATCTAATATCTGCCCAGGGCATAAGTCTGGAATAAAAGTCGAGTCAAAACATAAAGTCCACCTTTGTGGAGCCCTTTACTAGGGGCCAGGCCCTGGATTGCCTGCTTTACAAGCACACTGCAGTTTAATCCTCAGGCCAGCCCATACACTGTTATCCTCCCCATTTTATAGATGAAGAAGCAGAGATCATGACTTCTCTGGGGTCCCAGGCAGGGACAGAAATTGCATTTGAACCCGAGTCACCTGAATATTTAACAACTAGGTCGGACTGCGTTCCTTGGAGCCCTGGGGCCCCCAGGGGTCCCTGAGGAGCTGGGGTGCATTTGGATGGGGTCCAGGAGGGCGTGCGGGTCAGGCCTTGGGGGCTGCTGCTTGTTCCCTGTCTTCCACACTGGGCTTGGCAGAGTCTCCTTCTGGAGAGAGCATCCCGTGTCACCCAGCCTGGAGCCGCTGGGTCACGTGATGCTCCCAGTGTGACGGGACAGATCCCCCGCCCCGGCTGCCACGGACCCCGGGCACTAATCCCCTCAGCACAGGGCATGCAGTGGGATTAGTGGTTGGGAAATTAGGCACCACATCTGGTGGCCTCTGGAGAGCTTAGGCAAAACCTGTGTCTCAGAGCCCAGGAAACCTTGCCAGTGCCCCAGAACACGGGGGCTCCGGAGGCCCTGGCCAGCGGCGGTGGGGCCTGAACCACCCTGTTCCGGAGCCTTGTGGAAGAGGGTAGGTTGTGACCGAGAGCCCCAGGCCTGGCAGGGCTGCTTCTGAGCAGGCTGGAGGGGTGGAGCAGCTGGAATTGGGAGCTAGGGCAGGCAGAGAAGCCAGCTGTCCTGGTTTGCCCGGGCCTGAGGGGTTTCTGGGAGTGTGGGGCTTTCAGCGCTGAAATCTGGACATTCCTGGCAAGCAGAGATAGGAGGAAGGTGGATGGGGGCTTCCAAGCTGCTGTTTCCATTGCCATGGGGTAAAGCCATGTGAATCAAGAGGTTGTTTCACTTATATTCTGGGGTGCGTGCATGTGTGTGTGTGTTTTACTGGAGACTGAACCCATGGCTTTTGCACTGGGCTACATCCTCGGGGTTTTTAGATAGGGTCTCACTAAGTTGCTAAGTTGCCCAGGCTGGGTTTGGACTTGGAATCCTCCTGCTCCAGCCTTCCAGAGTGGTGGGATTACCAGCACACACTACCATGCCCGGCTCCCTCTCTGTTTCCTAGGGGCTCGCCGTCCCCTCTTCCCTTTCGCAGGCCTCCAGAACTTCTTTTTGCCTGCACTTCTCTGACTCAGCTTCCTGCCCATGGGAGCTCCTAGGGTGTAGATCCGAATCCTCAAGGAGCTGGAATCTTCCATGCCTTGGCGAGAATGAAGACCCAGGTGAGATGCTGCACCCGGAACCCTTCCAGCACTGCTCTAGGCCGCCCTCCCGCCTGTGTCGCAGTAACTGACCCCCCAGAGCTTGGGCCTGGGCCGCGGCCAGGTGGCCGTTAGCTCTTTGATTGCAAAGCAGAAGCCGCACATCTTCTCACACTTTCAACCTCTGCCTGGTGCCCGACTTCTCCCGACCTCCAGCTCAGTGACCCCCCAGCTCAGGGGCCCTGCTCCGGGGAGCCCCGAGGTCTCTGCATGGTTCTGTTTGTGTCTGTGTCTGTCCATCCGACTCCTCCTGAGAAATTACCACCATTCGAGCGCCAGTCAGTGGGTGCCCTTCCAGGGGCTTTGCGGGCGCTACCTCATTCGCCATCACCTAAACTCTAGCAGATGCAGGATCATTACTGCTCCTGTCATGCAGTTGAGACCCCGAGCTAGCAAGGGCAAAGCTAGTAAGGGCAGAGCCGGAACCAAGCCTCGCTCCGGCTGGCCCTGGGATCCGGTCCACCCCAGCGGGCTGCTGGCTCCCTGCGGGGAGCACGGCCAGGCACACAGCAGGCCCTCAGGGACCATTTCTAAATGAATGAATGAATGCATGAATGACTGAAAAAAGAGGTGCTGTCCCCAGTGGGCTATGAATAAGGGAAAGAGCGCAAGGGTGATGGGAGTGCAGGTCACAGGCGCGGAGCTGGGGCGCCACGGCAGGGGGAGGCTTGGAGGAGCCTGCGTTGAGCCTGCGGTTTCCGGCTGGGACGCGGAGAGCGCGCTCTAGTGGCCGCTGCACGTCCAACGTGAGCAGCTGGCGAGCTGCTTAGAGGCTAAATAGGGACTCCCGCTGCCCGCCTCTGGAATAAATCCCCGGTCTGGAGACGGGCAGGTGCTGAGCTCGCATCCCAGAGGAGCACCACGGACTGGGGTGCAGAGCGCCGGCAGCACGTGGAGGTAGGGTGGGTGGGGTGCACGGCGTAGCTTGGGCCTCAGCTCTGCCTTCTGCTGCCCTCGACCGCAGTGAATGTCTCTGAGTTCTTTCTTCCCGCGTGTTGAGGTGGGGATGCCTGGTCACGGCCCGGGTGCTGTCCAGGGAGCTCAGCTGTCTCCGCCCCGGGCCCTTGCCGGTGCTGCCTCTGTGGGTCTCTCTGCTCCTGCTCGAAGGGGGCGTGTTCCATACCAAACTGGCAGCGCCTGGGCCATTCGATGCCCCGTGTCGCATGCAGGCGAAACTGAGGCATCATTCACAAACGGCAAGATCCACAAATCCCGCGAGTCTTGACCGGTGCAGACAGTCCTGAGGCCGCGACAGTCAGGACGGAGCCGGAGCCCAGTGCCTCCCAAACAATTCTGCTCTGTTGTTTTTGTTTCGTTGTTTGTTCGTCCCCCATCCCCACCCCAGGACTGGGGATTGAACCTGGGGCCTTTATACTGAGCTGCCTCTCCAGCCTTTTTATTTTTTATTTTGAGACAGGCCTTGTTAATTGCCTAGGCAGGGCACAGACTTTTGATCTTCTTACCTTCTGCAAGGATTAGAGACGTGCATTGCCACACCAGCTCCTTCTGCTCTTTTATAGTCCCTCCTCTCCCCAGCCTAGGCAACCACTGATTGTCCTCTGTCCCGCTAGTTTGGCCTTTTCCAGAATGTTCTATGGCCTGGCATAGCCTGTAGCCCTTTGAGTCTGGCTTATTTCACTTAGCATCATGCATTAGAGACTCAGCGACATTGCTGCACCTATCAGTATCCATCCCTTTACACAGCTGCATAGTATTCCATCGTGTGGGCGTACCGCACTTTGCTTATTCATTCACCAGCTGAAGGACATCTGGGTTGCTTCTGGTTTTTGGAAAGTAAGAATAAAGAATAGCTTCAGTGTGAGCCCCCAGTGCTAGAGCTGGAAGATACGGTTGAAAACCAATGAGATCTCAAGATGTAAATTATGCTCTTTACCAGTAGCTCAACTTTCTTTTTCAACAGTTGATTTGAGCCTAAGTCTTTCAACTTGCCTAACAATGTGAAGTTCAAAAGCATTTCCTGAGAATATATTCCCCAAAATAATAGCACCTACTTGCATTCAATTGTAAGGATTCAATGAATTAATGTTTATAAGTCACTAGGAACCGTGTCTCTCATACAGTAAGTGCTCCATGGGTGTTAGCGGTTGTTCGATGCCTATTGTGTAAAAACCATTGAGCCAAGTGTTAGAGAAACACTGATGAATAGGGAGGAGCTCCCCCCTGCCCCACCAGGCCAGCCAGGGAGACAGGCCTGGCGCAGCACACCAGCTTCCTGGGGCTGAGGTTTGACAGGCTGGTTCCCTGCCTAGAACAGAGCCTGGTGCCTAGCAGGTGCTCAAGAAAGGCCAGGGGCATCCTAAGGTTCAGAAGGGGTCACACTGTGAGGTATGGGTTAAGAGGTGGGCAGAATGGATTCACTACCACCTTGCTGTGTGACCTCGAGCAGATCACTTAACCTCTCTGTGTCTCATTTTACTTCTAACCACTTCCTAAGCAAGGTGTGAGGGGTAAAAAGATATTACATGGTCAGTGACTGGGACAAGGCTGGCACAAAGCTGACACTCAGCCGAGGACAGACTCAGAACATGGGGATGATTATTCTTTAGACAAGTCTTTTGCTTCCTGTAACTTCTCTTTGCCAACCCGGATACGAGAAGATTCAAGCAGTGATCCTTAATGCTCTGCCAGAGCTTTGTCTGAGTAGCTTGGAGACTGGGCTTTGGGTTCAAATCTCAGCTCTGCAACTAGCTGTGTGACCTTGGGCAAGTCACTTAACTCCTCTGAGCCTCATCTATAACACCAAGGCACGGGCAGCACCTTCCTCACCAGGGCTGGGACTGGAGGGGACGTGTGTTTCCTGGCTTCTAAGTTGGCTGTGCAGGAGCTCACGGCTCTTTTGGGGGTGGCTGGGAAGCCACACACCCTCCTTCTCCAGTGCCTCGGCCCCTCCCGCCTGCCTTCTTCTTCCCCCTGTCGGGCTTCCGGACCTGCTCTCAGCACCTCTGAACCCCGCTGTCCGCCGGCACCTACCGCCCACACTTGCTGCCTCAGCCCCATGCTGCCCGACATCGCCAAGCATCCCTTCTCCTTGCAGCGGTTTTGACAGAGCAGCTGGGGGTGTGGCCAGCCACCCGCGCGGCGCAGCGCCAGCCCTGGACCGGGAGCGGTAGCCCCGCCTGCAGGGCGCCGCTTTCCAAGCTCAAGGTCGCAGAATCGGAGGAGTGAGGGAGGTGGGCGTTGCAGACAGAAAGTGGGTGTGGCCAGGGAGGGAGGAAACCTCGTCCACAGTCTCTGGCCCCACATGTGCCCTCCACACACGTGTACCGTGCACGCAGGACAAAGCCAAGGCCTCTGGGGCAGAGGACAGGGCGGGTGGCCCCATCTGCGGTGCCTCACTTGGAGGGCATCGGCCGTGAGCAGCGGAGGGACTTGCATTTGCGTGCCCTTGCACGCTGTTTCAAGCACCTTAGCAGGGGGCACTGGGGAGGGCTTCCTGGAGGAGGTGGCAGCCGCTGTTCGGCTCGGGGAGAGGCGGGGGCGTGGCAGGCTGAGCTCAGACCTGGACGCACATGGCAGGCAGAGCCACGACGGGGGTGCGTGCTTACAGGTGTGACACTTATCCAAACCTCTGGCCTCTCTGGACACGGGAGCGAGGCATAGGAGGCGACCGGAGGGGATCCCTTGTTCTCTTCCCTCTGCTGACCCCCAGGGGGCCACGCTGTGTCCTCGATTTTCCAGGCTGGCCGGCAGCCCCGCCTGCTGAAAGCGGTCAAGAGGTGGCTCTTCCCGGCCTCCAGCGGCTTCCTCTTCCTGCTGTCCGTGGTCATGACCGGCTGCTTCCTGTGGCAGTACCACCTCCCCAAGCTGCAGACTGGTGAGTGCTGGGCCACCCTGGCGGGTCCTCCTGGGCTCCGAGCTGCCACCTGGTCCCACAGAGCCAGGCGGGTCATAGGACTTACACCCAGGAGCTCCGGCCTCCACCCTCACGGTGGGTCTCACTAACTTGAATCTCTGGGCCTCGGAGCTGCCGTGTATAAAATGCGAACCCTCATGCCACGAGGGTTTCCTCAGGCTGCCCAGCCTGGGCGTAAGCAAAACTCAGGGTCCCCCCAAAGTGCAAACCGTTATTTCCCTTGCTTTGCTTTTGACCACCGTGCTCTGCCCCACTCTCAGACCCCGAGAGGGGTCCCTGGATGGTGATTTCTACTTCCTAAAGCTCTCCTTTCTCATGGGCTTCAGACTAGCCAGGAAGCCATCACTGCTCCAGAGGAGCACCAGGCCCTCCATTGCTATGGCAACCTGCTAACTTCCAACCTGCTGGGATCCTGGGTGGTCCAGAGCCCAGGTCTCTGTGAAAGGGGGGGGACAGAGGCTCTCTCCATTCTTGGGTCACCTGTGTCACAGATGTCCCAAAGCTCAGTGAGTGCTGCGGGCTCTTAAAATTGCATAGAAGTTTTACAGACGGCTCCTTTTACTTTCTTGTCCCTTCCTCAACTCTTGACTGCAGCTCTTCTTTCCTAGGATAAATTCCTTTTTAAAGGGCTCCTTAGTTTCTCAAGTAAAAAGACCTCCGGTAGGCAGGGTCTGTGCCCCAGAAATGTGCTCTTCAAACTACCAAGCCATAGCAGACTGATATTACTGCAAACATAAGGATGACCAAGTAGTGGCATATGCCTGTAACCCCTGCACTTGGGAGCCTGAGGCAGGAGGACCACAAAACTGAGTTCAGTCTGGGCTACGTAGCAAGTTCAAGACCAGCCTGGACTACACAGTGAGTTCAAAGGGAGACCTTGTCTTGAAAAACAAAACCCAAAACCCAAAACCCCAAAACCACATAAAAAGGAATTATTAAGGAAATTTTAAAAAGACATAAGTAAACAGAAGCCCAAATCTTGTGTTATTGGATTCCACAAGGGCAAAATTACTCGTCAAACTGCCAAAAAAAAGTTCCCAAATACAACCCGGTGCAGGGGTGCGTGCCTGTAATCGTAGCACTTTGGGTGGCGGAGTGAGGGGTTTTGCAAGTTTGAGCCCAGCCTGGGCAATTTTGCAACTTAGTGAGATGTTACCTTAAAACTTTAAAAAAAAGAAGGCCTAGGAATGCAGTTCAGTGTGAAGGTTCTGGGTTCAATTCTCAGTCCCCAAAACAAGAAGAAAACTCCCAGCGGCAAAAGCGCCTGCCTGGCAAGCGCAAGGTCGTGAGTTCAGTTCCTGGTACCAGAGAAAAACCAAAACCAAAAAAAAAAAAAAAAAAAAAAGAAGAAAACTCCCTCATGCCTTTTCTCCAGTTTTGTACATAATTTGTCACAAACAAGAAGCAAACAGTTTTTGATCTACCGAGCACGCAGACCAGGTCCCTGCCCTCCCGTGGGCTCGCCCCTGGGACTGTCAAAAGTCAGCACTCCGTGTCCCCCGTCACTGAATCAAGCCTGGATTTTAAGATTCCCTGGCAGCTTCCTGCGCACGTGGACACCCCTATCTTGGCCCCAGCTTGCGAAGCCAAGGTTCTAAACCTAAGCCAGTCACTTGTTGAGAGAACCTCCCTAAGGCAGTTTTCCTGTTTTATCTACTGCTAAGTGACAAGCCACCCTAAACCGACTGACCCTGGGCTGGCTGGCGGTTCTGCTGGGCATCTAACCTGGGCTCTGTCCAGGGCAGTGGGCTGGTCAGCTGGGACAGGGGCCTCACCCTTCCTAGTGTCTCCTTCTGGCAAAGCCCTCATCCCAGGCCTGCCCATGAGGTGGCAGTGTCCCTAGGAAGCAAGTCCCTTAAGGCCTTGCGTTGCAAGTCACACAATCAGTCTAGCCTCACTCCACTGGCCAAAGCAAATCGCACGCTAGTCTGTCCGTTCTCAGATCCCTTAACCTCTGACACGGGCCTCAGAGGAGAAGGCGGGATCTGGGGGCTGTTGGGAACTATCAGGCCCAAATCCCGTCCTGCCGCCCTCTCCAGCTGCAGCTACTGCCTGTGGTTCCAGGGCAGCCGCACCCTGGACAAAGGCAGAACAGATTCGAGGCCCTGGTGCCCGATGCCCATTTCTGGTGACAGACTTGTCCCTGGTGTTTAAGGCCCCAAGCCACATGGGGCCCCCCATCCACCCCAACACACATAATCAGCATGAGGAAAGAGAGGCAGATGGACAGACGTGCCGAGCCCACACGGAGGGACCAAGCCAGGGGCACACAGGGAGGGGTGTGCCCACCGCAGCAGCATCTGTGGCCGATGGGAGTCACCAGGCAGTGGCGGCGTGGACTGGGCCTTCCCTGCCCGGCGCCCCGGTGCTGCGGCTGGTTCGCGTACCTCCTTCTGGCTGGGGAGGGCTGTCCCCACGGCATGACTCTGGCCTGTGCTGCTGCCTTTCCTCCTCCTCAGGATGACCCCTCGGCTCCTGTCCTGACCTCTGCCCCCTCCATGCTCTCTCCAGGTTCCCTGGGACCAGACGTGACCTCTGCTCCCTTGAGGATGTGTCCCCAGCACCCTGAACCTGTGCCCCTGGCTCATCCGCTCCCAGTGTTGAAGGAGGCCCTGGAAAAGGTCAGTGGAGACCCGGGAGGGGATGGGTGTGGGGGAGGCTGGGTGGTGGAGGGGAGCGCTCTTTACTGGCAGTGACGCCCATTTGGGGCAAGTGTGAGGACAAGGGGAGGCGAGGGGCCTGTGGGGACATCACAAAACTGGCCTTGGGGTCTGCAGGAGGCAGCATCTGGGGGAGATGTGAATAAGCAGATATCCAGATGATGTACGTGTGTGGTTAGGGACCTTGGGGAGGCAGGGGTGTGCTCCAGACAGAGGCAGCAGCATATGCAAAGGCCCTGAGGCAGCAGACTGAGTACATGGTACACACAGAAGGCTAAGAGGCCAGTGGAGGGAGGTGGGAGGTGGGAGAAGATGAGGAGGGAGCAGATAACAGAGCCCAGATCACAGAGGCGAGGGCAATAGGATGAAACACAGACACGCACATGCACGCACATGCATGGCACAGCACAACACCACCGCAGGGTGCACCTGCTCTGTGCCATCGGGCCCCATGCACGTAGGTCCCTCACCTTAGGAGTCGCAGAGACAAGGAGACACGATCAGAAGCACGTGCGCAGCAGCCTGGTGGGGGACTTGAATCTGGCCTTGAATCTGGCTGAAGGGAAGCGGGTGAGCAGTCCCTGGGCGGGAGGAGATTACAGGCCGACGGGGAGACACGCGGAGCTCGGGGAGCAGGGGAGCAGAGGGTGCGACGCGGCACCCGGGGGCCACAGTAACTGAAGCAGCGTGGTGAAAATCGCCATAGCTGTCTTCTGCTGAGCGTGTGGCGAGTGCCAGGTGCCACGCGACCTGTCTGTGCCCCACCTCACGAGTCCCTATCTGCGTAGGAGGAGACTAAGGCTCGCAGAGGCGGAGTTAGCACAGGGGTGGGGAGCGGAGGCGAGAGCGTGGGCGAGGCGTCCGGCCGTCATTAGGAAGCGGCTGCTTTTGACTCCAGGAGCTGTTGGCACGCGGGCCAGGCATCTCACGTCGCAAAGACTCGGCCATCAAATGGGGAGAAATTAGCACCGACTTACCGTGAGGATCAAGTAAAATGATGAATGCAGATCACTTTACGCCCTGCCTGGCGTATTCTGCACGTCCCCCAAACTTCAGCTATTATCATTGCCCTTATACTTCATCACTGAAAATAACAAGGCATTTTTAAGAACTGTCTGAGGGGCCCATAAACTGGATTCCTCAACACAGGGAGTTCGGTTAAGCCCCAAGGAGGTTTTTCTAGTGCATCAGGCAAGGCTTTGATTAAATCAGTAATTTTAAACCTTCCCTCTTTTTTTTTGTATTGAGGATGGAAGCTGGAGACCTCAGACAGGCCAGACAGGACTCTACCACTGAGCTACGTCCTCAATTCCCAAAATTCCCAACTTTGCTAAGGAAATGTTTCTTTGAGCAAAAATTTTTTGAGGAAGCCCTGTGTCTAACAGGAGTGCAGGGAGCTGGGCCCCCCAGGGGGCGTGGCTGGGGCCAGGAGGGCAGGCATTCATGGAGGCACCGTGCGAGGGGGGCACCGTGCGAGGGGTGCACCGTGGGAATGGCAGGGGTGCAGGGGCGTCACTGCGCTCGCACCCTGAGCCTCCTGGTCTTCTCCCCCAAGGTGGATGCGATCCTGAGCCAGGCCATGTCGGCCCCAGGCCTGGCTGCCATGTCTGCAGCTGTCGTCCACAACGACACCGTGCTCTGGACCGGGAACTTCGGGAAGAAGAACGGCTCAGACCCCAACTCGGGGACCCCCAATGAGTACACCATGTACCGGTCAGCTGGGTGACCTCCAGGGTCCGCTGGACGGTGAAGGGTGGGAGGACAAGGGGCCCGGGAGGCAGAGAGACCCAGGAGAATCATGGCTGGGCGTGCAGGCTGCCAGCACGCATGACTCAGTCCTGGCAGCTCCACAGAAGAGGAGGCAGAGGGGACCAGTGGGTGCCCAGGGTCACACCACAGGGGTGATCGGTCAGCTGGGACCCCGCCTGGAAACCTTAGCCCCAAACCTACCAAAATGCAAAAGGACCCCTGTGCCACCCACCTGCTGTCCTCTTCACAGGCCGCTGAAACCCACACCCAGCTCCTGGCCCTCGCCCCGGGTCCCGATGAGTTGGCAGCAGCGTCCCAGATGGAAGCAGCTGGGGACACTGAGCTACACACCCAGCGTCCCCCTCCTCAAAGCTCACACTGCAAAGTCATTCCCAGGGATGCTGTGGGGGTGACAGGGTCCAGAGGGAATTCACATTCACACTACCCTGCTCCCTGCCAGGCCCGGGGCTCACCCCAACAAGCACTTCGCAAGCACCTTCTTCAGTTCCTTTTACCCCCTGTGAAGCAGGCAGGGAAGCTGCCTCAGAAAAGTCTAGTAAGTTGCCCAAAGTCACACAGCCAGCGGGAGGCACAGGACAGATCAAACTCAGGCTGGCCTTGCAATGGGAAGGGCAGCCTAGCATGGGTAGGTTGTTCAAGAGGGTCCATCCTGCTCTGCTGGCCCCTCAGCTTCTGGTATGTTCTCAAGCATCCTCTGTCCAAAGACAGCTGCAGATGCCCTGGGGCACTTCCATCCCAGATTTTTTTTGGTCTTTTTGAGACAGGGTCTCGCTATGCAGCTCAGGCTGGCCTTGAGCTCACTTTGTAGCCCAGGCTGGTCTCGAACTTGCAACGATCCTTCTGCCTCAGCCTCCCGGTGCTGGGATTACAGGCATGGGCCACCATGCCTGGCTCCCAGATGTTGACTAGGGTGGACTCGGTCTTTACTAGAACACTGGGGTATGGGAACTGGGGGCATAGGGCAGGGCCTGGCTGTGGACCAGCAGGCTGCCCTCTGCCCCTGTGCCCGCCTCATGGTGCAGGATCGCCAGCATCTCGAAGATCTTCCCAGTCCTCATGCTGTACCGCCTGTGGGAGGAGGGCACCGTGGCCTCCCTGGATGACCCTCTGGAGCGCTATGCCAGCACCTTCACCATCCACAACCCGCTGGGCACAGCCTCAGGCCCCCAACACCAGGGCCTGATGGATGAGCTAGACGAGGTGGGCCCGGCTCCCAGGCCTTCGTCTGTCACCCTCCGAAGGATGGCCAGCCAACTCTCAGGTGAGTCTCAGCGCTTACCTGGCCTGACCTAAACTATCTCAGATGGCGACTGGCCCACAGGTTCCCAGCCAGCCAGCTCTGTGTCCTGTACTGGCCATGTTCCCACCTAGGGCTTGGGTGGTGAGCCGGGACAGAAAGATCTCAAGAGGTGAAAGCTGCAGTGAAGCCTAGGCATTTAGATCAAGGAGACAAATCAGTTTTCAGGTCAAAATCAAGTTTGATCCGTCAAGAGCTGCTTACCAGGTCTACAGCAAGTCATCAAGTTTGTATTTGTAGGAAATTCTGCAAGGAAGACGCAACAGCCCTCAGTACACACGTAAAGGTCATGTGCACGCCAACGCAGCACAGCTACTCAGCGGAGACACAGGTGAAGGATAGGAACGGAAGCGACAATTCACAGAAGATGCCTTGAGGATATTTAAAAATATTAAAAGATGCTCAATCTCATTCATAACAAAACCGATGGGAATTAAAACTACATGGAGACAACGTATTTTCCCCCTGCGAATCAGTTTGGCAAAGATAAAAATAGTGGCTGCACTGAGTTGGTGAGGGTGTGGTGAAAGAGATCCTCTTCTCCACCAATGGTGGGGATGTAAAGGGGTAGTAACTGCCGAGGGCAGCTGGTAACAGTCACCGTGATGTAAACTATAGGGGCTGGAAGTGTAGCTCAGTGGTAGAGCAAGTGCTTGGCATGCACAAGACCCTAGGTTCCATCCAGTACACACACACACACACACACACACACACACACATATACATAGACAGTACATGCCCTAGTATTCACACATGTGGTATGAAGTATGTCCACAGTAATTTACTACAGGACTTCTCGTAATAATAAAAGATGGAAACAACCTACATGTGCACATAGATGTCCAAAGTGTGGGTGCCCCTCACAAATCCACCCCCCCATCATTTTACCAAGTGCACCCAGGCCAGAGCTCTCAGTCAGTGGATGTGGCTGCTGTAACTCCCATGCCCAGAAGCTGGGGTCAGCGAGAGGATGGGTGCTTCTGAGGTGGCACAGCCAGGACAGGGTCAGTCTTCTCGAGGGAGAGTGCCCCTACAGCGGAAGGCACAAGCATTAAAACGCCAGCTCTGTCCTCTCGCTGTGTGATCCCAGGCAGATTCCTCAACTTCGCGCAGCCTTGCTGTCTCCCTTGTAAATCACCTGTGGTTAAGGCTGTGCTGGGTGCTGAAATGGGTTAATGAGTGTACCCGAGAGAGGACCTGGCACCTGGCAGACAGTTGCTAACAGTACCTCTGCTTATGACCCCGGTGGGCCCAGGTCTAGGGGAGCTGGATGTGGATATAACTTTGGGGTCCCCTCTGAGCACACAATATTATAAATTTAAGATTAGATACAGATCTTGAGTAGAAGTATGCCTTCAGGAGCTCTGCTGCTTAAGCCTCTAAAAGATTATGATTGGGAGGGGGGTGCTGTGACTCTAGGGCTCCCTCTAGGGGTATATTGTGGCTTCTTCATTTATACACAGGACGGGGCTCTGTGACCCGTCAGTTTCACACCCTTCCTGACTCCTCTCTGTCCCAAAGAGGTGAGCTGAGCAAGCTGCTACCTGAATAAGCACACTCTAGGCTGTCTTTCCCCATGCCCCTCTCCCCAAGGCTTCCTCCTGATTCTTGAAGCCCTCCATCCTTTCTCTAAGTCCTGCAACATCTGGCAGGGCGACCACTGCAAGCACTTCGGTCCTCTTAGAGATGAGTGAGTGGGGGCTCAGAGAAGGGAAGCAATGAGGTTTGGGGCTGCGCATCAAGTGCTGCAGTCAGAATTTGAACCCAGGACTTGGGAGTCCATCTCATTGTTCTTGCCAAAGCTTTGTAGTCACCCCTCAGGCCTCCCTCTCACTCCCACACCCATGCATCCCCTCTAGGAGCAAATCCTGTGGGCTCTACTATCAATTTCTGGAGTCCAGCCACTCCTCTTTGTCTCTGCTTTTAGCACACTGGTCTGAGCCGCTATCATCTAAGCAAGAACCATGCAGGTTTTTTTGTTTTGTTTTTTGAGACAGGGTCTTGCTATGGAGCCCAGGCTGGCCTTGAACTTGTAACTGATCTTCCTGCCTCAGCCTTCCAAGTGCTGGGATTACAGGCATGCACCACCATTCGTAGCTTTTAGAAAGGATTTTAGAAAGTCTTTTCATAAGCTTTCCCACTTCTACTATTGTTCCCAATAGTTTTCTTCCATATAGCAGCCAAGGGGACCTCGGTGAATATGTTGGATTCCATCGTCCCTTCGCTCAGGACCTCTGCTACATCCTTCCACGATGGGGGGATGTAGGATCTTGTACCTGCACCCCAACATCTCTTACCTCCTATCTCCACCTTTCTCTCTCTCCAGCCACACTGGCTGCCTCCATACCGTCCCTCAAATATGTCAGCACAGGGCCTTTGCATTTGCTGTGCTCTCTGCCTCAGACACCCTTTCTTTACAGCTGCATGACTCACATCTCCAGATGTCACTCGATCAAAGGTCAGCTTCTCCACGAAGGTGACCACTTTGTAGAAAATAACAGCTCCTCTCACTGAAATACTATTCCTCAGAGCACAGCTATTTATTTGCTGCTTGTCTGTCCCCTCTCTAGAATGCTAACCCCACACTGACAGAGACTTGGTTTTGTACCTGCTGAGTCCCCAACACCTAAAATAGTTCTTGGCACAGGTGGTAAAAAATTATTGATGCGTGCAGGGATGGGAGGGGGTCCCAATCCTGCGGCCCTTTCAATACCTGTCACATCCAATAAACAGAACACTCCAAGTGGAAGAGGAGCCAGTGTTGCAAAACACATTTGATCACTGACCTGAAGAAACTTAAGGCAATTGAACCTTCCCTAGTTGATAACAATTTTTATTTTGTGGTACTGAGGATCACGAAACCCAGGACCTCTTGCATGCTAGGCAAGTGCTGTAGCACTGACCAACAACCCCCAGTGCCTAACAATTATTTTTAGAGCAGTTAGTATGCTAAGCATTTTATCGCGTCTATTCCTCACCTCAGCCCTAGGACACTGGTATTGTTTCCCTCATGTGACAGGCGAAGGACTGGGGCTCAAAGAGGTTTGGTGACTTCCCCTATAAAACCCAGGCCCAGGGGGGCTGACCATGGCTATTCCCTAGGGCTGCCCAGAAGGCTGCGCTCCACGTCGCTGCTGTGGAGGGGCAGCACCCAGGAGGCCCTGAGCCTGCTCAAGGATGACGTGCTGGTGGCCGACCCAGGAACTAGGTGAGGGCCGTGCCCTGATGCTTCTGCAGGAGACACGACCCTGAGGAAAGTGCTTCGCCCGGGATGCTCAGAGTCGGGAGGGAAGATTAAGACTAAGGCCTAGAAGGGGGCATCGTTGATATCAGGAGGGGAGGACCGGGTAATCAGAGAACGGAGAAGCCCAGCTCTGGGAGCATCGGGGCTCCGGGGCTGGACGGAGGTCAGCTGGCACTGTCTTGCCCAGGAGGCCTCCTTCCAGGCCCAACGCTTTTCCAAACGTCCCTCTGCTTCCCCAAATGCTGAGCCTCAGGCCCACGCCCCTTGAGGAGGGGCCCAGGTGATGCAGACAGGTGATGCTCCAGATCTGCTCCATCTGGCCATGTGACCTTGTAAACCTCGCTGTCCAGGTGTGTGGCCTGGGGCGGTCCCGGCAGTTCCCTGCTCCTCGCTGGCCTTAGTCTTTCCAAGTGTAGCACAGTTATAGCCTGGGAGTCCTGAGGTCTCTTCCGGGTCCGACTGTCCGGGGCGCAGGCTCCTTCCCAGCCCTGCCCACTGCTGCGAAGCTCTGGCGGCATTTCAGCGTGTCAGCAGCGGGGAAGGGGGCCCGGAGACGCTCGGGGCCGCATCCCAGAGACGGTCGCTCTGCTTCCTTCCAGGTGCCACTACAGCACGCTGGCCTTCTCGCTGCTGGCGCACGTGCTGGCGGCGCACACGGCCCAGGGTGACTACCAGCGCTGGGTCTCGGAGAACGTGCTGGAGCCGCTGGGGATGGCGGACACGGGCTTCGAACTCACGCCCGCGGTGCGCGCCCGCCTGGCCGCCGGCTTCTACAGCAGCGGCCGGCCGGCGCCGCTCTACGACCTGGGCTGGTACCGCC